ACGTTTATGTTAGATACCGGTTCTGGGCAAAATATAATTAAAGATAATTTTGTATCTAAGGGAAACACTGTCAATCATAGTAATATATTAAAATTAAATTGCATAAACGAATATCCTGTATATACTCTTGGAGAAATAACTTTACTGCTTTTTGTAAATAAAGTAACTTTTCATATTGTAAAGGGTGTCCCAAAATTAACGCAAGATTTGAATTTGCCGCCATTTGTCAGTCTTATTGTGATTGGTTTATTATTGGTCGGCAGTCAGAGTCGGCAGTCGAGTCGACTTACACTGTATTGTGATACGGATTGTGATACGCGCTCTACATTTTATTGTGTACTTAGTGATTTTCCGCCAAGTTTCCTTCGCCATTAGTTACTTATCGCCGGCCCCCAGTCACGCTGGGCGCCACTTTGAGCACAGCAGCCATAACGTAGACACACTGTTGTGTTTATTAGTCTTGCCACCGTGTTGTCTGTGATACTGGCTCTGACAGCACCGCAACCAATACGGTGGCAAGATTCTAATCCAGCTAGCAGTCCAGCAGGAAAACAAGCTGTAGCTGCGTTCAGCAATGCAAATCTGAGACGTCGGAGTGCTCTTTTTCTACAGTGCATGTAACATATGCTATAATATAATAGCACTCTGACGCCTCAGATTTGCATTACCGAACGCAGCTATAGCTCGTGTGCCGCAGGCTTTAAGTGTACCGAATTCGTCATTACATCTAGGATATTTCAATTGTTGTTTAATTTATATGCAGCTATTTTATAATTAATACGATATATTTCGTTTTGAGACATGGGTAAGAATCATAAACGTTTAAAACGCCTAAAATCGGAAAAGGCGAAAGTGAAATTAAAATCGAAGACCGTCCATCAATTGACAAAAAGTTCGAACACCACAGATACGTCGTTTAAAGTGAAAAAGATACTAATTCGTGAACAACTGAAGCAACGAGATGAAACAGAAGTTCTTAGCACTCGTAAATTGAATATCGACGTACGTAATTCGGCTTATAATATTTTTTTTATGTTTAGTTTATATTAGATAATTGTTGAATTTATCCTTTTTACCGCCGATGTTGATAAAATTAGACTTATTTGACGCGTTTTTGCACGAAATGAACGAATCTGGCAAAAAATAATTATCGCTTTATCCCGTGGACCGAGATATTAATCGTTTAAGTTGATGACTATTCAGGTTAGGAAATCTGTCACATCTATGGCATAGGACATGAGAACATGTAATTGAAGCTAGAATAAGTATTTTCTGCTTCAATTATACAAATTCTCTGCTTTAAAAACACATTCTTTGTTTTAAGAATACAAATTATTTTCTATATAATTGTTATTTTTACAGCAGAGTATTTGTTTGGTTAAGTATTTGTCTGTAAAGCAGAAAATTTGTGTATCCCTCTATGCCATCGATGTAACAGATTTCTTAATCTGGATATCTGTCAACTTTAACAATTAATAATTCGATTCGCGGGGCAGGACGACACATTTTTTTTGCCAAATTCGTTCATGTAGTGCAAAAACGCGTCAAATTGGTCCGACATAGGCTTATCAACATCGGAAAGGTGAGGAAGCTAAATTCAATACTTACCGAATGTTGATGTCTTGCATAAGCCTAATTGTTTAGTACATTATAATTCAACCTTGTACGTACATTATTCTGTAACTCGTAATGTGTTTTCAGGATTTATTAACACGTTTTCGGCATCACAATTCAACTGTGAGACAAGATGCTTTGAAACAATTAAAAGACATCTTGTTACAAAATCCTCCAAAATCTTTACATTCACGATTGAATTCTCTGTTACATGGTATCGCAGCTTTATCTCTTGATAAAGAGAAAGAAATACGCACAATTTCATTTCATGCACTTAATTTTATTCTTGGCCTTATCTCAAATGAACAGTTGACACCCTTGCGTGAAATTATAATATCGTATCTGAGCTGTGCAATGACACATATTGATCCACGTGTGAAAGAAGATTCTTTACTTTTCTTAGATGTGCTTGTACAAAATTGTAATAGTGCATTGGCAAAAGATAGTCATAAAATATTACCTAATTTTTTAGGTATGATATGCAGATTACATAATGAAGGTAGCCCTGCGGCACAATTAATGACAACGTTACATTCCAAAAGTACTAATGTAAAATGGAGAATTAAAGTTCTGGAACGTTTAGCTAATTTATTTACTTCTATTGTTAGCTACAGGAAACTTTGTATATGTACAAGATCAATTATGCCTCTGTTTGTGAAAACAAAAAAATATACCAGATTTATTCCAATTTACAGTGATAGTGCGACTCAATTATGTGAAATTAATCTTGACGAAGATATCTCGATAGATAATTGTGAGAAAAAAACCTTATCTATTGAAGAATTTGCAAAATATGTAAATTTATTGATGCCATTAATGTCTGATATTTGGCTTGAAGTATGTCCGGATGAGAAAATTGAGAGTTACATAGAGATTACAATTTCGAGTGAAACAGCTGCATTATTGAAAAATGTCATTGTAATTATGCAATCGATTGTGGAATACATTGATACATTGGATCAGGATAATTATAGTGTCAAACATATGAAGCGTTGGTTTAAAAATACATTTCATGATGCATATATGAAAAATTTCCTATCGAGATTTCCTTATGGTAAAGTAAAGCCTCTTAATGAATCCAGAAAACATCAAAAAGATTTTTCTCAAATGGAATTTACGGAAGGATGTTTGGAAAATTTGAGACTTTGTCAAATTCACGTATGGTTTACATCTCTGTTTAGCTGCAACGAACAATTTCCCAAGTCTGTCAGGAGCTATTGCATATCCATTCTGAAGTATTTAAATGGTAAATTATTATTATGTAATAAACACAAGTAATATTATTATCTAATTATTATGTATAAGGCCCTTTTTTACGAAACTTTTCTTATTTTCAGATATTATTAAAAATTGGTGCGACTCGTCAACTTTACCTCAACTTACTAAACTACTAAAAACTTTATTTTTGAAAGCTGGAGCAGTTTGGTATAGCAACTGTATTAATTTGAATCATACTTTAAGACTGATTATTGAAGCATCTTCTCATTTGCCTAAGAAAGAATTGCTATCGCATTTGTATTTAATTATTGGTGACATTATGTTGAACAACAATTTAAATGAGTTGCACAGGTAATCGTTTTAAATAAAAAGTAAACACTGTAAACAGTGGATAATAATTTTAATACTTAATATTTATACAGCACTTATTTAGGAATATGTGAGAGAGAGATAACGTATAGTTTACTTAGTAAACTATCGCTAATTATTATTTGTTTCGTTTGACAGAGAAAAAATATTTGAAAGCTTTGTTACGATCTTACCAAGTTTACTCCTGAAACCGAGCATAGATGACGTTGTAATTCGTATGATCAGTCAAATAGTTTTACGTTTTAAAGAATATATCCGGGAAGAATTGATAGCTAAACACGAGTCTATTATCGGTAAATTGTATGAATTTGATTAAATCGTATATTGTGCCATCGTTTTTATCATAACGCTTTCTTCTTTTCAGAAAATGCTAAGAAGATCAACATTGTGGGTACACACGACGACAAACAGTCGAGACTTATGATATATAATCTATTTTATTTCGTAGATTCACAGATTTACTATGAAATTAAATCAATCGCAGTTATATATACACAGATACAGAGCTTAAAAATACGATTGATTTTTCTATGTCAAGTACAAGCTTTGATCAATTTTTATTTAATATTTAACATATCTTACGGAACAATGGATGGTACGCGCGTATACATGCGTCAGCGTATATGCATATGACTTGTTATGACTTGAATGAATTATTCCATGAGAATGAGACAATCGCGGAACTAGGACAGAACTTTCCGTCTTAGTTTAGTCCGTTCTACATGTCCACGAACTCTGTTCAGAACAATTATCAGACGCTCTGTATAAAGGATGAGTCATTTTAATATTCCGTTCCAAATATTTTTTCCACGCTTTTTATAAAAAAATGTTTATTTTGGATGAAAAAGGGACGATTTCGAAGAGAACTTATTTTAGTGTTATTTTTTCTTTTTTTTTATGGTGAAGCCAAAAAAGAGATTACCTTCATTTTTTTTAATAGAATTGTATGATTTTTCTCACTTAATACGATTCCTCGTAATTATTTTGTAGATAAAAGTATTAAGATAGAAATACCCCCCAGGCACGAGCCCTCCAGATGTGTCGTTATATGCGACGTCACGGTGCCATTTGAGAACCGCTGGGTAGCTTTCGAGGGCGAGGAAAATAGCCAAATACTCGCCACTGGCAGAGGAGCTCCAGCGACAAGGGTACCGTGTCGTCGTGACGGCCTTCGTCGGCGCCCTTGGCTCGTGGGATCCGAGGCGGTGTTGAGACTGCTGCGGATTGGCTCCCAATATGCAGCGATGATGCGGCGCCTCGTTGTCTCGGATACCATTCGCTGGTCACGGGACATTTACGTCAAGCATGTGTCCGGCATTCGCCAGTACCTGGCTCCTCCCCGTCCCTCTGGCGATAGTCTCACGACACCGCCACGTGCGGTTCGTCGACGCTGGGACGCCGAGGAAATATGTATGCAGAATGCGACGCGTCGCAATTCGTTGAGTATGAATGTCGTGTAATTTATTCTGTGATTGTCTTGGCCCCCCCTTTTTTAAACGTAGACTGAGAGAGTGGCCCCAGACCTATTTATTTTATTTTGTTTTATTTTATATATAGAACTTTTTATTTTTATTTTATTTTTATTTTTAATTATGTTTTTATTTTTTTTTTAACATTAATTGTTTTATATTTTGACTGTTGGACGGGAGCTCCTCTCTGCTAGTGTTATTTATTTATTTGTTATGTTACGCGGTATACTATTGTATCCGATTTTATCTTTTTTTATGCTATTTTATTGTTATTATTTTTTATTTTATTTTCGTTTTTATTTTTTTTGATTTTTTGTTGACTCTTTGTATCTTTATTCTACTGTTATTTTATTTGTTTTATTTATTTTATCTATGTACCTATTGTACTTTCTTTATTTTATTCTATTTATCTTACTCGTTTTATTTATTTTATCTATTTTACCTATTTTATTGATTTTGATTCTATTCATCTTATTTTTTTATTTATTTATCTATTTATCTATTTATTTACTTATTTATTTATTTATTTTGTTTTATCCTATTTATTATCTGTGTATTTTCTTGTCTGTTGGGCCCTGATTGTCCGAGTGTGAATGCCGCGTCTACATTATTGTATTTTAAACGAGTGTGAATGTGGTCGTGATATACACTGTTAATTTTAAATTTATTATAGATTGCTCACCGCCGCGCGTGCTCCTCCGGGACTTTTATACTTTGACAAATTATCTGTGATATCCTGGAGGAGCCGAGTGATACAACCGTGATAATATACCTCCCCGGCCAGCGAACCGGGGAGGTATAATTATTTGTGATACGCCCAGACTGGGGGGCTTGCCCAGCCTTTAGTTGTAACGCCCATGCGGGGGGGGGCTTTGTCCCCCGCAATAAAATATATTTATTTTGGCGCGCGGCCTAGCCGTTTATTTTTTGTATTACCCCAGAGGGGAAATGTCCTTCTGGGGAACTTATTTGATAAATAAAAGTGAGTTAATCTGTTATAACATCCCGTTGGGGAGGATGTGGATTTCTCCCGCTCTCCGACCTCGCCGACGTTCTCACGGTAGCCCACCTGTATCGTATGTTAACGTTGCGCGATGGTGCCGTGAGGGAGTTGGCGTAGGAATCGCCAGGGAGTGGTTGGGCGCAGGATCGTCCACGCCGCTATTTGCGAGGATATTGCCTCCTTCCCATCCGACTCGCTGAATGGAAGAATGAGGGGCGGAGGGGAGGCTTCGCTCTGGTCGAGTGCGCAGAACGCGGCGCTCAGACAGCCCGAGAGGCTGTCCTTGCGCTGGCGATGGATTGCGACCACGGAGGAGATGACGTTGTAGTGTCGGGGGCCCAGGGAGGCAGCGATTAAGATTCTGCCTGGAGCGCGCGGCCAATTAGTGAATCGATGTCGCTCAGCTGTAGCAGAGCACTACGCGAGTAGATTGCTCGTAAAACCAGACCAGGGCGAGGTCTTCGAGGAGTCGTAGCGGTGTCGAGTAAGCAATCATTTTATCCGCGGCGGCAGCATCACTCGCTTCGCCGATTGGCGTTTTATACATAAGGTCTAATTATATGTGCTCCCTCTTAACGGCGCGCGGCGTTAGGAGGCAAATAATGATAAGCACTGTCGGCGATGCGATGAGGTATCGGAGACATTGCCCCACGTGCTCTGTCATTGTGGCGTTCATTCCGCAACAATACAGCTGAGGCACGACGCTGTTCTGCACCGCCTTTGGAAGGCTACACGTCTTCCAGGGGTAGTGCTGGTTAACCAGCGGGTAGAGAGCGTCAGCGACGAATTGGATGCGCTACACCTGATCTCGTGGTCAGGCACGAGCCCTCCAGAAGTGTCGTTATATGCGACGTCACGGTACCGTTTGAAATCCGCTGGGTGGCTTGCGATGACGCCATGGCGAGGAAAGTGTCCGCGATATACATCTTTAATTTTATTGTTTAGATTACTCACTGCCACGGTGCTCCTCCGGGACTTTTATACCTTGACAATTTATCTGTGATATCCCAGAGAAGCCGTCATACAACTGTGATAATATACCTATTGGCTTGCCCTCCAGCCTTTAATTGTAACGCCCATGCGGGGGCGGTGGGGGGGGGGGG